GCGTGTGTGTGAGTGCGTGTGTGTGAGTGCATGTGTGTGTGTGAGTGCGTGTGTGAGTGCATGTGTGTGTGTGAGTGCATGTGTGTGTGTGAGTGCATGTGTGTGTGTGAGTGCATGTGAGTGTGTGTGAGTGCATGTGTGTGTGTGAGTGCATGTTTGTGCGTGTGTGTGTGAGTGCATGTGTGTGTGTGCATGTGTGTGTGTGAGTGCATGTGTGTGTGTGAGTGTGTGTGTGAGTGCATGTGTGTGTGTGTGTGAGTGCGTGCGTGTGTGTGTGAGTGCGTGTGTGTGTGTGAGTGCATGTGTGTGTGTGTGTGTGAGTGCGTGTGTGTGTGTGTGTGTGTGTGGGGTTAACCTTTGACAAAGTGCACCAGAGTGATGATTTCCTGGGCGAACGTCCCGGTGTGTGAGGCGTTCTCGCGGTACGTCCCAGAATGCTCCAGCATGGGCAGGAAGTCCAGACGCTGGCGTCCAACGTTGACCAGGTCGAAGGAGAGCTGTCGGTCGGAGGAGTAGCAGAGCGGGCTGCAGAGGAGGATCAGAACCATCAGCCTGGAGAACACGTCTGAACACTTCAGCAGCTTCAGAAGTAACAAGCAGCTCAGTCTGGATCTCAGCATCTCTAACGATCAGTGAGGAGCTCCATCGGGAATACGGCTGAAATCCGACTTCAAAATAAAATCTACGTGGACATTTTTTGAGAAGCTGAGATGCAGTTTTTGCACATTAAAAGAAAAACGTAAAGGACTAGAGCAAAGAAACTGATTTTAATCCTAATTTTCAGTAAAACTAAACGTTGCCAAACATCATCAGTTAAATGTGTTAATAACCAAGTTTTTAATCCCACGTGTTAATCCTGTAATCCAGTGCTAATTCTTGAATCCAGTGCCAATCCTGTATTCAGGTTTTAATCCACTGATTTCCCTCTTATCTATTCACTCTCTCTCTTTTACATTTTTATCACAACTGTCTATTTTTTTTGCTTATTTTAAATATATTTTAACCATTTTTATTCTTTTTTTATTTTTACATTTGTTTTGGTTGTGAAGCGCCTCGTGATTTTTATCTTGAGAGGCGCTATAGAAAAGATTTCCTTCTTAATCTTGCAATCAGGTTTTAATCCTGTAATCCAATGCTAATCCTGTAATCTGTTGCTCATCCTGTATTCAGGTTTTAATCCTGTAATCAGGCATTAATCCTATAATCAGGCGTTAATCCTGTAACCGGGTGTTGATCTTGTAATCAGGTTTTAATCCTGTAATCCAGTGTTACTCCTGTATTTATGTTTTAATCCTGTAATCTGGTGCTAATCCTGTATTCAGGTTTTAATCCTGTAACCAGGCATTAATCCTGTAATCAGGCGTTAATCCTGTAATCAGGCATTAATCCTGTAACCAGGTGTTGATCTTGTAATCAGGTTTTAATCCTGTAATCCAGTGTTACTACTGTATTCAGGTTTTAATCCTATAATCAGGTATTAATCCTGTAATCCGGTGTTAATCCTGTAACCAGGCGTTGATCTTGTAATCAGGTTTTAATCCTGTAATCCAGTGTTACTCCTGTATTCCTGTAATCTGGTGCTAATCCTGTATTCAGGTTTTAATCCTATAATCAGGCATTAATCCTGTAATCCGGTGTTAATCCTGTAATCAGGCGTTAATCCTATAATCAGGCGTTAATCCTGTAACCAGGTGTTGATCTTGTAATCAGGTTTTAATCCTGTAATCCAGTGTTACTCCTGTATTCATGTTTTAATCCTATAATCTGGTGCTAATCCTGTATTCCGGATTTAATCCTATAATCAGGCATTAATCCTGTAATCCGGTGTTAATCCTGTAATCAGGCGTTAATCCTATAATCAGGCATTAATCTTGTAATCCGGTGTTAATCCTGTAATCCGGTGTTAATCCTGTATTCATGTTTTAATCCTGTAATCTGGTGCTAATCCTGTATTCAGGTTTTAATCCTGTAATCAAGCGTTGATCCTTTAATCAGGTATTAATCCTGTAATCCAGTGTTAATCCTATAATCAGGCGTTAATCCTGTAATCTGGCGGTAATCCCATAATCATGTTTTACAGATTAAAGACAAAGACCTTACCTTACCCAACACTTACCTCTGACGAGTCCCACAAAGCTCCAGCTTTTACAACTAAAACTGTTTATTTATACTAAATTACAGATTCTATGATACTTTTATTAATCTGGTAAATTAGCTTCTATCGTTTCCCGTATTTAACAGACAGGTGAGTTCACGTCAGGGTGAAAGTTCACACTTCCTCTAGTTGGATCATCGACGCCTTTCAGCGGCTCGTTTTACGATGATCTCTGAACATCGCTGAGACAAACGTCTCCTCCTTCCTACGGATGTTCTCCTTTCATCCTCAAGCTCCAGAATCCGGAGCATCGTCTTCCTTCAGCAGATAATCCGACAACACTAAAGGAATTCCATTTAGCAGAGTTTGATTCTTACGTCAGGAGGAAACATGCTGCTGATTCACTTCCCTTTGTCATCTTCATCGGGAGTTAAACGTTTTTCCAAGCCTCCTGATTGTTTCCTTGAGGCTCTTTTTAAGGAACGTTTGCTTTCATTCTTATTAAAGGGGAACATGTTGGAACTCCACAGCTTTTCCGTGTTTGTTTTCTTGTTTCCGTCTCAGATTTAGGCACCGAAGAGGCCAACTTCTCACTGGTGATCCGGATAAATCCGTTTGCTGCTTCCATGAAAACGTTCACAGCTTCCAGTTTTAATCCTGAAACCAGGAAGTTAGACTCGTTTATCTTCAGTCGCTCCTTCCTCCTCAGGTTCGATTCATCTGTAGAACTACATTCAGCTACGTTTGACCTTTGACCTCTCTGTTTAGATGTGCTGTGAAGATTCATCCCAGATGTTCCACGATTCATCAGAAGCACATTTCAGGTAAAAGCTGTCGGGTCAAATCCCAACAGGACCTCATCCATCTCCAGCGGCCCCGCTGGATCCCATCCTCTCCACCTTTTCCCGAGCCGAGTCCAGAGCAGACCATCAGTCCAGCTTCTTCTCCAGCTGGGTCGGGTCTACGGTCTGGTGCTGAATCCAGCAAAGATCCAAACGATCCGTTTTTCTTCATCAGATCTGGGATTTTCCCACGTTACGGATAACTTCTTGCTCTCGGAGCCGTCACGTCTCCACAGAGCTTTGGTCTCTCCAGCGGTTTTCCAGGATTTAAACACCAGTAAATAAAACTCCTGATCCAGTTTCAGAGAGAGAATCAAATTCAAAGATGTAAATAAACACGACCGTCCAGTTCAGCTAAAGGAGGAAGTTTTTCTGTGGGAATTAAGTCGAATCTTCCATAAAAGGATTCCAAAACTCTTCCAGATGACAACGTCCTTCTACGGGTTCTCCGTGGGCCTCCTTCCTTTGTAGAAACTTTGACTTCAGCAGAACATCGAGGGAAAAAAGAAGCTGGAAAAAGACTCGACTTTCACCTGGTTTTTGGCCCGTTTGGATCTTTAGATTCAGACTGGAGTTCTAAGGATTCTCCTCTGCTGCAGAACTGTCTTGTTTTCCTGGATCATTCAAACTCCAGACCCCCCAGTGAGTCGTGGAGGATGGCTGCTTATACTGAGCCAGGATCCTCTGGAGGTTTCTTTCTGTTAAAAGGGAGTTTTCCTCTCCACTGTCCCCAAATGCTTGCTTAGTATGAGGATTGCTGTAAAGACTCTGACACTAGTCAGTGACTCGATGCAACCTGCTGGGTTCCTTATGTAGGAAACTTGTTACTGATTGGCTGAATGACCTGAACTCCATGCACCGATACGTAGGAACAACGGGAACATTTACTTGTGGATCTGGTGCTACGTAAACCAGCTGAATCGGACTGATGGTCGGTGATGAGCTCATCCATGACTGATGTCAATGTTGTTGTTGTTACTGTTGTTGTTAGCCTCAAGGGCAACATGCCGATTATCACTTGTAAGTCGCTTTGGACAAAAGCGTCTGCTAAACACATAAACATCTGGCTGTAGAACAAGTGAGTCGTTATTAATCCTCGACAGATGACCTCTGGTCCCTTCCGTCTGGATCAGGAAAAACAAGAGCTGAACTCATCCGGACCTACGAGGCGGTTACGTCGTTTTCCATCTTCCAGAGCAGAGGACGATTGCATCATCTGGAGGACCTTCCTCTAGATGTTAGCTCATGACCTCATACCATTCCTCATCCATCAGTGGGTTTGAACCCAGACTTCTCTTTGGGGTGGATGGATGAAAAAGTGCTTTTAGTCCAATTCTTCTGTTCACGAAGACAAAGGGTGTGTGTGTGTGTGTGTGTTTGTGTGTGTGCTCTGTCTTCTCCATCCCAGTGAGTCGTGGAGGATGGCTGCTTATGCTGAGCCAGGATTCTCTGGAGGTTTCTTTCTGTTAAAAGGGAGTTTTCCTCTCCACTGTCGCCAAATGCTTGCTTAGTATGAGGATTGCTGTAAAGACTCTGACACGAGTCAGTGACTCGATGCGACCTGCTGGGTTCCTTATGTAGGAAACTTGTTACTGATTGGCTGAATGACCTGACCTGTGTTGTTTACTGTGTGAAGGTCCTTGACACGACTCTGGTCCTGACTTGGCGCTTTATAAATAAACTTGAATTGAATCGACAAAGACTTGATCAAACCAACTTCAAAGGCTCCAAAGATCAATCTGAAGAAGTTAGAAGGTCCACCTGCAGCGTTTCCTCCTGGAGCACCAGTTTTCCAGCAGCGGTGTTGATGAATGGAACGGTCGGATATTCTCTAAGATGCTTTCCTCTGAAGGAATCTTCCTCGGGCCGTTTGAAGCCTTCCGCCTGTGTGACGTTCATCTGATAAGTTCTCTTACTGATCCACGAGAGAACATCTCCGTAAACTTCAGCCGAATCCATCGGATCGGAAACATCGGACACGGAAAAGCTTCTCCTCTTCGTTTTATTTTCTCCAGGCCTAGAAAAGAAAGTGTGAACTTTCACCCCTCACCTGTTCCTGTCACATACCCTACCTTCTGTGGTTTGCAGGTCGACTCATGTCCACTTTGACGGTGAGGGTTTCTTCTGTGATGATGGTCACATCGTTGGATTTCTGACTGCTCCAATCACGTTCCCTCTGATGGGGAATTTTATGATCCAAATCAACTCTTGCTGAGCTTTGCTGCAAACTTCCGGGCCTGTCATCTTCCCACCGCTGACGTCTGTCTTCATTTTCCCAGTTGGGCTTCTTCTCAACTGGATCCTCAAAGCCTCCCCTGAAGGCTCGATAACCTTCACGCTGCTCACCATCGGGAAGATCTTGGAATCTGGGTTGATTCCTAGGAGGCTCCATCCTTCCTCCTCGACCTTGGCTGTACCTCCCCCTCCCCCTGTTGTTCATCTGACCCCCCTGACCATCGTATTTCTGGGGGTTTGGGCTCCTCCTCGTTTCATGACGGTTTGCTTCAATTGAGTCATTCCTAAAATGGCGCTCTGGTGAGATTTCCCGGCCATCCAACCTTCCCGCTGATGTCCTGAAACGTTCCTGTGAAGATCCTACTGAACGTGGACTCCTCCGTGGTTCGAAGTCGGACTCATGACGTCTAAAATCCTGACGATGGTCAAGGCCTCGATCGCGTTCAGTACCAAAGCCAGAGTTCCCAGAGTCTCTACGAGGAAAGTTCCCCCGGGAACGTCCTCCAAACCCACCTCTCGGTCTGTTCGCAGAGAACCCCCGATCCCCAAAGTCCTCCTCATTCCCGTACCTGTTGATGGCATAAGAGGAGGTGACATGGTTCAGTAGAAAGACCTGAGCATCAGACTTGTTTACTGTTAAAGCAGAACCAGGTTAACGAATCGTTTCTGACCGCACTAACACGACTAGGAGCTCTACCGACTAGGGAACGTTCAGACTCATGCAGGAAGCTGTAAGATCTGGGAGACTAAAGGAAGGTCGGGAAGTTTCTGTTACATTAATGTTTTAGAATAAAACAGAAGGATCCTAATTGGGTAGAAAGTGAAACTGGACACGAATGATAAAGAATCTTCCTCTACGGAAACACGAGAGCTGAGAAGCTTCTTCGTTCTTGATAGTGATGAAAAACATTTTCACTGATTTACCCAAAACGACCGACGTCATCCATTTCTCTTCTCGGTCTTTTAAAAGGGGGGTCTTGTTCGTGGTGTGGCTTCTCTCTTTGTCTACCCCTAAAGGAACCTTCTCTCCTCTCTCTTTCCACGTCTCCTGTTCTGTGGTCACCTGACCTCACACTGGAGTCTCTGAACCTCCCCCGACCCCTACCCCGCTGCTCCGGCCTCCAGCCCATCCCGGCCCCCTTTGGGGGGTCCAACGGTCCCAGCCTCAACAGCGGCTGAGGTGACTGGCGAAACGCCCCCCTGTTTCCAAACCTTTGAAAGTCTTCTCTGCGTCTGTCGTTTCCAGAACCGTCACCATCCCTTCGGTTTTCTAAATGCATTTGGTCACGATGGAGCGAAGAGCCTCGGCGGAACAACTCCTGGCCTGAGTGTCGCTGACTTCTAAAACGAGACTCGTCAGAGAAAGGAGATCTTCTCTGGTCTTCTAGGAACATTTTCTCCACCAAGAAGTCCCCGAGTTCTTCAGGACCTTCTCTTAAGCGACGGCTTCTGTCCCGTGGACGACCATCCAGATCTCCAATAACTTTACAAGGATCAAAATCCAGTTCTTCCCATGGAAATCTCCTAAAGCAACAACATCAAGCAAATAGAGGAGAAAAGGGTCGTAAAACAAGAAACGAGTCGCATCAATCAGGGAAAAGCAAGTTCTCTTATTACACAGTAAGACTATGAAGATGAATAGTTGGAAGTACCTATGACGAGGTGATCTGGACCTTGGTCTCGACATTTTGTAAACCCTAAAGGAAAAAAGAAACCAGCTGATGTATCAGAGAATATTTCAAATACACCATAGCTTAAAAAAGCTCGTCTGTGAACGACCGACCCGACTAGAAGAGCGGAGTGTGGTTTGAAGGTGTGCACTACTTTAAAATCGTGTAGAACACCATCAGACGCTGGTTTGCCTTCCAAATCCCAGACTTCCACATTCCTGAGGCAGCGTGGGAAAACGCTGGCAGAACTAAATCAAACCAACATCTAGAGCGGAGCTTCTAAAAAATCTCACCCAGAATCAAACCAGTGAGGGATGTGGAATTCAACAAGATACAGGATGAGGAAATTTAAACATCTGATGTTTTATATTCTGTTGTCTGCACCGTGGTGAGGGTTAGGGCTCAACTGAGAGCTCGTTCCTAAACAAGGCGCTACATCACAGTTTGTTTTATGGAGGAGACTTACACTATTTTCACTCTATAGTGATGTTCACAGTGAAGGACGTAATGTTTGGTGTCACGTGATTCTGGTGCGACATGTTTGTAGGATTATTAATGTTTTATAGACTGTTGGCAAGAAACAAGATATGAAACTACATGATTACGTGTTTTTGTTTTGAATGTGGCCTGACAACAACAACCTAAACACGTGGATTCTGGTAAACTGTTGCTGCAACCCTGATTGGCGTCAGTGAATCCAAACGTCCTGAACAAACAAACAAACACGCATGCTAGCCGTGGCTAAACCAACAGATAGTAACCGAACACGTTCAGCGGTGTTTGTAAAAATGTATCCAATTGTTTTCCTAACAATAATCCGAGGTGTTTAGCATGAAGCTAGTTAGCAGCTAGCAGAGCTCTCACAGCAGTCTTACCTTCGAACACGGCTAATGCTAGTCTTCCGCGGCTAACGCTGCATGAAAGATAACAAAAGACTCAAATAGTTACACATTTAAGAAATACAGTTCGCAAACTGACACTTTACCCCTTCCTGTGCCAGTTATCACCCAAAGCTAGCAAAATGCTTCATAATCCGCCCAATCTCGAAGGAAATGGCTGTTATTCGTGCATTTGCTTCTGTTGGGGGGTCATAGAGCCGCAAGAGGAAGTAGTTTCACGCTTCCGGGATATACCTTTCAAAATAAAACGTTTTTGTGAAAAGAGATTTTCAACTGTAACTTTATTTCTGGTTGACTTTATTTTTATAACATGGAGCAACAAAACTAAAATAGTCTGTAACTAACCCTAAAATGACATCTTCTTTTGCTTGTATTTTAATTTGGCACAACTTGCCTTTATTTATAATCAAGGGCGTCAGTTTGTTTTCAGAATTGCTGGGGACAATAACCATACACTTGAGTGGGGTTTAAAAATTGCTGGGGACAATAAAGTAGGCTAGCTCAGGGGTCGGCGGCTCTGTGGCCGCATGCGGCTCTTCCATCCATCTGATGCTCTGTGCTTGTAAAATAATGAATGGATATTTAAATAAAATGCTTTATATTTTACTGCATTAATTTTACATCTGTATGCTAATTCTAAATGTAAAGATTGTCTGCGTAAACCTGAACAGGTCCAACCCGGTCCACTGTGAGACCGGGTTGACGCGTCACGCTTGTGCGTAATTAAATGCGCTTCCTGAGCTGAAGAGGATGTGAGATTCTGGGATTCTCCTCAGACGGCTCCTGGATGCGTCGCCACATTGGAGACAGGAACAAGCACTATTCAGCCAAAGTTTCATAATCAGGGAACATTTTCTAAGTGACAAGTCTCTGAGAGACAGGGTTTGGAAAACACTCGCTTCAGTGGGAGGAACCTTCCCGCATGCGTTCTGGTTCTGAGAGCCTGGATTTGTATTCTGAACAGTCTAAACATGTTTTAAAAAGAAACGTATGACAAAAGTGGCACCTGCTCAGTAAAACCACCAACAGGGTGAAAAATATCTAAATATTGTAGGCAGAGACGGGCTACAACTTCTGGATCCACTTTATATAAATCGTTTTATTGATTATCGTCTTATGAAAGATAACTTTGACGTACACGAGCGACCAGGCGCGTTGCAAGATTTTCAAAAGTGTGGGGGATGTTGTCTGTGCCTAAAATAATTTGATGTTATACACCTTGTTAGTTTAATTTCCATAATAGCGGAGCAGGTGCGAATTTTAGACGCGTCACACATGTCTCCGTTTTAAACATGTTTAAACTGTTCAGAATACAAATCCAGGCTCTGTCTCGTTAGATTGGTGTAACTAAAGTTTGTACTGAATGAAACTTTACGTAAAACCATGTTGAAGAGAAAAGGATCCGATTAAATCATTTCCCCTCATTTACAGTCACGACGTACAGCGCAGTGCGAGTGGCTCTGGGGTTAATCAAGTTTAGTTTTTTCTCTTTGCAACAATCTTCACAAGAAGGCAAAACAGTTAAATGGCAGGTTACAGATATTTATATTAGACTTTTATTTTGACGGATAAACTCAAGGATGCTGGCTGTTTTGAAAGAATTACCCCGACGCACACTGATGCGCATGGATGAGCTTGGAAAAATGTTCTTTTAATGAAATTATTCAACTTTGGCTGAACAGCGCTTTTTCCCGTCTCTAATATGGAGACGCATGACGCAGTCTGAGGCAGAATAGCTCTTCAGCTCAGAAAGCACCTGTAGAGACATTTGATCACGCACAAAGTTTATGTGGAGCAGAAGCGGTCGGGCCACGGCAGGTGAAACGTTCCTAGCCTACATGAAGTGAAACTGTTTAATTGTAACATTAATATGTTACTGGACACGCTGGTCTGGTTGGTTAGACCAGTGTTTGAAGTGGAAAACACACACACACACACACACACACACACACACACACACACACACACACACACACACACACACACACACACACACACACACACACACACACACACACACACACACACACACACACACACACACACACACACACACACACACACACACACCAGATAAAATAATGCTGATAGCGTGGACTAGAAGACAGGTGATGGTTTACATATTTAAATGATGATCAGGCTGCTGTAAAATGTAATCTCCATCCACATCCAGACACAATCATCCTCTATTCTTTCTCTAGTTGCTCTGCTCTTGTCTGGGCTGACGTCGCTGATGGTGCGCGGCGCGCCTAACTAGCGGCTGATGCACATTTTACGCATTTGGAGAGGTGGGCTGGATGCTTTGCGTTTACTGGAAGATGGTCCACTTAACGCACGGGTGTAGACTACATATTAATGACAAATGAATGAAAATTAAATTGTGAGTTTTTACTTCATATTTTAGTAATAAAAAGGATGGGGGAACACATTTATGACATCTTTTTAAACGACATTTTCTAGCGCGACCTGCCTGCTTCACTTAAATCACTGCTTATTAAGGTCCGTCCAGAATTACCGTGGCCCACCCAAAAATGAAAACCTGGCGCTGCGCCTGTTATAAACCTCTGCAGATTGTTGTTCTTCACTTGATCAAACTCAGACTTTGTACAGCTAATGTCAAGATGTAAAATTATGAATTCAGTCGAGCTCCTCCGTCCCTCCCTCTCCTGCTCTCCTGGAAACCCGACATCGGCTGTCAGAAGCGGAGGTGAAGAAGGAGATGAGGCAAACAGAGTGAGTGCGACATAAAGAAACCAGACTGGTGTGGAGGTGAGCAAAACAGCTGGAAAAGTGTGGGTGTTGAATCCCCCACGGGTGCGACGCCCATGCGAGCGACCGGTACCGGCTGCTGTCACTTGGTTGTGAGCAGCTCTCTGCTGTCTGAGGGTAGGCCCCGCCCACAACGCTGCGGCTGCTGCGGTGTTTTATTTACCGTGGGAAACGGGTAATAATGGCTCTTTGATGGGCACAGGTTGCCGACCCCTGGATAAGATCTGAGCTGGTAAAACAAAAATCCTCATCAGCAGGCATTTTTTGAAAGTGGGGGGGACACAGCTGCCAATTACAAATTTTGCCGGGGACATGTCCCCGGCGTCCCCGGTTAAAATGACGCCTATGTTTATAATCCGTTTTAATCAACTTCCTGTTTGAATGAAATGTTTTTATTGTGAAGGGTCTATTTCCTGTTCTAACAGTTAATGCAGGCTAGCTTAACAGCGATAAAACGGCCAAAGCAGGAGAGCTAACATGGATTTTGCTGTAAGCAGCCCCCTTGATAGGGGCACAAGGTAAAGTTATCTTAATGTACTTATGTTTTAAATATTTTGTTATAAAATGGTTGGATCCAAATGCATTGATTTATCTTATAAAGCTAAGCAAATTGTAATTTATGGTGTATGTTGTAAACTGTTAATAACAGTTGTATTAATGTAAGAGTGTGGATCTATTTACATGTTTTTTTTTTGTACACATCCCCAGCTCTTACGGTGAAATTGAGGGTCATCGTCATTAAATCCAAAACTTCATCAGTAAAGTGTCATCCTTCATTCGGGGATGGGGGTGGGGGGTGGGGGGGATGCTACAGTAAGAGCTTGTGCCTCTATAAAGGGGGCTGCTAATAACAAAATCCATGTTAGATCTCCGTCAAAGCTGCTTTGGCTGTTTTATCGCAGTTTCGCAGTTAAAGAGCAAGTCACCCCCCAAATAAACGTTTTTTTGCCGATAAACTAAATAAACGAGTGTCTGATTGTGCTGCAGACACATGTAGTCAATAATTTGGCACTTCAGTGCATTTTAGTTAAAACTGAAATATTCTGCCTAAAACTGTCAGTGTTGTGCCGTTGTCAGGTAAAAACTCTGCACTGTATTTTAATTTAAATCTGCCACTGCTATTGGCTAAGAGGTATGCTATGATGTAAACTGGTACATTATGATGTCACAATGTTGTTGTGAGCCTGTGTGTGTGTGTGTGTATTTGTTAGCAGCTCCGCCTTCTCGGTCTGCCAGGCAACAGCATTTGTTGCATTTTTCAAACATGAAGTGGGAGTGGAGTTAGACTCTTGTAGGGGTTGACTTGCTCTTGAAGCTAGCTTGCATTAACTGTTAGAACTGGAAATAGACCCTGCAGAATAAAAGCATTTCATTAAAACAGGAAGTTGATTAAAACGGATTATAAATAAAGGCGAGTTGTGACAAATTAAAATACAAGCAAAAGAAGAAGTCATTTTAGGGTTAGTTACATAGTCACATAACCATCTTTAAGCCATTATTAGTTTGAACTGCTGTTCCGAGGAGAAACACCAGAAAATGTTCACAAATAAAATGTATAAAAAGTTGCCACGCAAATATATTTTTTTGGTGAATAAATTAAATTTTAATTTTTTACATTTTTTGCCTCACATATTTCCCCTGCTACAAAAGGGGTTTGTTGACGGAGCATTTTTTATTGTCTTGCATTTATTCTGCTAATACTGTACTATGAGAGTTAATTTTAGTAAATTATATTGTATAAAGTTTTTGTTAGCTCAAATGTAAATGTTGGCTTATTTACTTCAGATTTACACATTAAGTGTATGTAACTCTTTACAAAACAAAACATTTGTATGGCTTATTTTTAATTTATTCTAAATAAATCTACCCCCCCCCCCCCATGCTCCTCCCCCTTGAATTGTCCACAGTACAGCTGTAACATCACACGGGCCATGCATGTTTTTGTTTAGTAGCCTATGTCATTTCAATTATCTTGTTTACAAATGTTGGAGATGCTTATTAGACAATTAATAATTCAGATTCTGAACTTCAGCCACTGAATGTAAACATATTTTCTACCTTTTAAAAGTTTATGATGAGTGAATGTTTACATGAGTGATGATACATGTGAACATCTGGATCAGGGCTCATGTAAATCCTTCACCTCTCACACTAACATTTATTTAGAAGTTTGAAATTGCAACAGGAAGTTGAGTGCTACTTTGTTTTTTTAATCAATTTAAAAAAATCCCTCCACTTTAGCAGATCAGTGTTTCAGCCCCACACACACACACACACACACACACACACACGCACACACACACACACACACGCACGCACGCACGATAAATAAATCTCTTGTTTTTAATGTCTTCGCTAGTTCCCTTCACGTCTGAACTAAAACAGTTGTCACTGATCCAGTCCACCGACACAAGTGGTTTGATGAAGTTTATTGTTCTATTTCAGCGAGTTTCCATGCACCACATCTATAATGATATATTCCACCAAGCTGCAGTGTCACAGAGTTTAGTAATATTAGAATAAACACAATCCGTTATGTTTCCCTCAGATACAACGAGACCCTCTGGTTTCAGCAGAATCTAGAACATGATGTGCAAACGAGGAGAAAGAGGAGCTGAAGGGAAAAGAAATGTTAGTAAACGGTTTCATCCATCAGCGTGGAAACGAGGAGGAGCCGCAGAGCCTTGTCTCAGAGACACTTACATCTGTGAGAAGACACCTGGTGACGAATAAAAATAAAGGACTGGGAAGGAAACATGGACGTAATTTTCACTTTAGAAGTGGGGGGGACATGGGGGGGGGGGGGGGTCTTTACAGTATGCTCTAATGGGAAACTGGCTTCAACACAAACGGTTGTTTTCCACTTGGTCCTAGAGCTCAACCAGTGTCAATTAAATATAGTGTAATATTGTTTTTGGATGGTAAAAAGTGCAGGGGTCAAAACTTGACTTTGGAAAAAGTGGGGGGGACATGTCCCCCCTGTCCCCCCCGAAAATTACGTCCATGGAAGGAAATGGCATTTATTAACCTGTTTACTGGATAAAACCAGTCTGAATCTCAGGTCCTCTGAACCATGGCTGGATTTAGGACTTTTAGTTTGAGAACCTTTAAAGTTCTGACAAGTTTTTACACGTTTTCTCTGATCAGTCTGCTGCTGAAGAGAAAAAGCAAAAGGTGAGTTTATTGTCGGCGGTGCAGGACGAAGTGCGGAGGTTCTAAGGCCTCGGAGGTGATGAGCCATGAGGAGGTGAACTCTGTCTCCGGTCCGAGTCGCTGAAGCGGTTTCAGAGCAGTGAAACACGACTACTTTAGGTGCGCGCTATAAACTGCAGTCAGTGCCAGACTAATACACATCACTACTAATACATCCTTAACCTGCAGATTAAATACATACAGTTCAGCTTCGTTCCTGCTGAAGATCCCAGAGCGTCCATCCATGGAGACGAGCAGCAGAGGAATCAGAGCTACATGCTAACAGGATGCCGCTCCGCATCGCTAGGACGTGAAAGCACGTGAGAGCGGCCGTCAGAGTCAGGACAAACACACAGGAACCACAGAAGAACTACACAACCACAGCTAGCTAATCCTCGTCCAGGCGCTACACGCTTCTCACACACATTCAGACGGATCTCGTCCAGACGATCTGCTGCCGAGCTGCTTCCCGTTTCAGTGATGAACAGTCAGCTTTATTTACAGAGTTTTTAAAAAGCAGGTGAATCTCCAGAGATGTTGGTGGCGATGCAGACGGACAAACCTGGCTCCATCGTCTCCTGACCTACGGAGAAGTTTATCGGCACAGATCTGGTTGTAGATTCCCTCTCGTGTTTCTAGAATGTTTAAAACCACCCCGGCGGTGGCTTCATCCACCCCAGAAACAGCTCCTTCACGCTGACTATGATGAATGCGTGACTTGTCCATCTGCAGAGCCTCTAATGTGTCCAAAAGCCAGACAGTGATGTGGTTTCTTCATTCAGATCGGTTAAAACGATGACTGTTGCTGCAGATGAACGTTTGTTTCTTGTGGTTCCTTTTTTGTTTTCCTACCAGCTTCTGAAAAGTCCCTAGAAGGAGAAAGAAGACAGGAAATAAACATATGCCGGTATCTTAGAGAACAAACGTACGCTTGGACCGAGGTTTTCCTCTCTGCACCTCTACTGGAGGTCCAGCTTGCTCGGGCCGACGCTGGGGATGAGCTGCGAGGACTCCGAGGCGGCGCTGTACGCCTGGATCAGCAGGTTCTTGTTCAGGTCCCCGACCCCGCTGCCAGCCTGCAGTTTGGGGTAGGGGGGTGTCTCCGCGCCGTGCCGCTGCCCTCGTCCCGGCGCGTCGAGGTCCATCAGGTGGTCCAGGGGGCAGCCGTCGGGTCCCTCGGTGACGGGTGAGAACTCCTGGGCGCTGGCCTGCTCGTCTCTGGACACGGGGCTGATGGAGACAGACGGAGAACTTACAGGAACGACGACGGAGAAACGAGACGTTTAGTTGGTTTTAAGGAAGCTGCTTCAGGTTTCATGACAGAAACGTAATTTAACAGTTTCAGGACTCCGGTGGCGACACGAGCTCCTGAGCAGCAGCTGATTCTATAATCATTATAAACACAGGTGTGAATAATTGATGTTAGCTTTATTCATGCAGCTGCTGCTGACAGGATTATGTTGTAAATACAAACATTTAGTAGTCATAAAATGAGCTAAAATCATAAATATTTAAAACGTTACCTGTTAGCCTTTTAAAGCTACAAGTGACATCATTTCCTGTTCAAACATAATAAAACCTCAAAACCACGTCATCAGCTCCGTGTGGGTCCACCAACCTGTTTATTCTAATATGAGCCGAGGACATGTATTATTAACCACAGCAAACACTAAATTAGGATTAACACATAATCCTAATCCCTGTTGTAACCTGGATGGTATGTATCCTAACCACCCCTAGAGGGAGCTCTCACACCACCAGTGTTACACGTACTCCAGTTTAAAGGTTGGGTTTAGGATAACTCCCCGTTAGATCCTATAGACAACTTCCTGAACAACCTCAGCTAAGAGAAATAGAGGTGACATCTTTCAGGACAGATGAGCTAAAGGTTGGTACAGGTGTGTGTGTACCTGACGTCCATGGATTGGACCCCGTCGGACAGCTCGTCCACACAGCTCTTATTCTCCAGAGGCCCCAGCAGGATGACGGGGGCTTCAGCAGGAGTCTCGTCCTCCTCCGGGGCGGCAGCAGCATCAACTTTAACCCCAGAGACTAAAAACACACAACCAACACACAGATTATTTAGACGTTTCAGATTATTCACTGTTAATCCCTGTGCTCCTTCATAAGGCTGCCACGTTGAATCCATCAGACACAAAACAGCAACTGGAGATTTTTAGGGAAGATTTAAATGGTGTCGCTTCACTCTGACCAGCAGGGGGAGACATTTTCCTGCCTGTTTAACAGCTGAGTCACTGCCCCTCAGACTGGTGTGTGTGTGTGTGTGTGTGTGTGTGTGTGTGTGGTGGTAATAAAACGACGCAGGAAGTAGATCAACAGAATAAGATGATGAAGTCATCGTAGAGATTAGAGTTTGTTAAATCAGCTTTTAAATCTGAGATTATTTAACGTTTACCAGAAGCAGCAGACGGAGGCTCCACCTCGCTCTTCCTCGTCCTCTTCATAATCTCCTCAATTCTCTGTTAAACACATTCAGGATGTTAGAAACAGAAGTAGACATCATCTGGACTTCAGGAGCACCAGCGGCGCAGCTGTAGGGAAGGTCTTCAGCATTTCTGGATCTTTTAGGTGGTTTGAAGCTTTAATTTGAGGGAATTTCCTCAGATCAGCTTTAATAATCCGGCCGAAGTTACGGTTTCACCAGTTTAGTGCTGAGTGTGAAAATGAAACACAGCCTCTGAAGGAGGACCTTGAGGAGATCTTTGGTACCTTCTTCCTCTGCTGCCTCTCCTGCTCCTCCTGGATGTGCAGCTGCTCCCTCTCCTGCCTCTTCTTCTCAGCCTCCCTCTGAGCTCGTAGGACGGCCTCCTCCCTCTGAGAGACAAACCGGAACATCCAGTCTCACATCATGACCCGGTCTCCAGCTACTTCCTGTTCGCCTCCCAGGGCGCGTGTGTGTGTGTGTGTGTGTGTGGTACTGCTCTGGGTTGCATCACAGTGATGATGTCACATCACATCATCAGACCTGAGACGTCTGAAGATGAAGCAGCGACTGACTCAGGCTGTAATCTGTTTTAATCTTAATCTGTTACTGTTTTAAGTGTGTAGTTTGTTAATCTCTGAAGTTGGTGATGTAATCAGGTGTTTTTGTGTCAGAATCACAACAAACTTCCTGTTTTACATCGTAGGCGATGCGGTAAGCGTCTGACCTCCTTGTCCAGCTGCTCCTGCATGTCCCTCCACCTCTGCTCCTTCTGTCGTCGCTCCTCCTCTTCTCTGCTCCTCCTCTCCTCCTCCCTCCTCACCCTCTCCTCCTCTGCCTGTTGGGCCGCTCTCTCCAGGCGCTCCTTGGCCTCCTGCTGCTCCCTCTGCTCCTCCTCGATCCTCATCCTGAAGGAAACAGGCTGACCTTCACAGACGGTCCTGACCCCGACTGACCCTGGATCAGCTGTTAGGAGCTTGAATCCAGCTCTAAGGTCAGTCGTTTGTTTTTGATGCTACAGATCTTAATGATGCACATTTAACAAAAACCCTTCACAGTTTAATAGTTAATGTTGACTATTTATTGTCTACAAAGCCAAATAAACATATTTAAAAAATGAATAAACTGGAGTTAATCTGTTAAACGGAAACATTTAGTCTGAATTCCTCCTTAAATCCAGTTTTCAACACATTTCCAGTAAATTAACATCAATTTAAACGAACTCCTAATAACAGTAGCGAGCTCTTTACCTGCAGACGTGGATAAAAACATGATCATCATAATAAAATCTGCTGGAGTTTGTTTTTACTTTGTGTTTCTAGAAACTTCAGAGCAAAGATCCGAGATGTGATCTAATTTTGAATCCTGTAACTTTGAAGTTTTGTATTTTATTTGTTAACCAGTGAAAAAACAGGAGTAATAACAGCTTCCATGGGAACGCCGACCTCTCCTCCTCCTGCCGTTGTTTCTCCTCCTGCTCCTTCTGGACTCGAGCCAAACGGCGTCGCTCTGCCAGCAGCCGGGACGCCTCCTCAGCATCCGTGGTCCCTCCGACGCTCCGGCCGGTGGGCGTGCTCGGAGACTCTGGGAGGCGATGAAGGACAAATTAACATTTGTGAAAAATGTTTGGCAGCGATGAGAAGCTGCAGCTGGACTGATGTGTGATTGTTACCCAACAAGAAAAACAATTACTGTTTATTTTTCTTTATCAGATGTGATTTTTCTCTTTACTTCAGCCTCCTCCGCTCGTTACCATAACAACAGCATCCCGACACCACCGACTGATTCAGGAACTGAGACCATATGACTTGTTTGTTTTAATCAAACTGTGGATGTAGGGTTAAATGATCCGCTGCTTCTGACATAAATAATAATAATAATAATAATAATAATAATTAGATTTTAAAAGAGAAAGTTAAAACGAAACAGATTTTTATTCTATGAATCTGAATCTGTAAAGTAGAAATTCGCCAGTTCGAGTCACTGAACTGAATTTTCATTATTATTACTTATAACCAATTAGAATAATGAAATATAAAAATCCTAATAAAATGAGTTGTTTTACTGTTTTACTTCACAAAAGAGAAGATAATTTTGTTTTTCTTCTACTTTAAGAGGTCCTTCACTCATACTTTAATACATCTGCTGTGGTCTCCTGTAGGAATAAACACCTTGTAAATCGTACTCTGGGGAAACAAAGCTCTGGTGCATCATTTTCAGGAACTAGAAGTGAGCCACATCACAGCTGAGCATCAGACGACAGGATCTGCAGTCTTACTTCCTGATATCTGGACATCTCTCCTCTGATTGGCTAACAGCAACATGACTCTACCACTGACTGTTTGCTCTGCTACGTTGACGCTTTATCTCCACCAATAACACAAGCCTGGAGGAGTTCTGCTGTCTGGTGGAGTTGCTAATGCTAGCAGTTAGCTTCTACTAGCTAAGATGTTCTCTGCTGTTTCCTGGACGTTAAACCAACAACAGCCTTCCCCGTCGTGAATCCATGAATGTTCGTGACAGTGTGACGTAGATCTGTCAGGCTTTTCTAATCCTAGAGTTTCACCGTCTGTTTTCTATCAGAAGCTACTGCAGGAGGTAGGTGTAGGAGACTATTTCATGTTCAGCCTGCATGAAACACTCAGAGTGACCCGTTAGAATCAGAAATAATCATTAAAACATGGTATTTCAGTGAACCACACCTTTAAAACGATGTTTGTTTTTAGTCCAAACTTGGATTAATTTATTTTAATTATTTTTTTTTAGACTTTAACAGAAGTGAGTCCATCTGGTCCCGTCGGGTTGCTCACCTGCGTTGAGCTCCTTGCTGGTGGATTTAGGGATCTTCTTGCTGTCCGACGTCTCAGATTTGGCAGATTTCCTCTCCAGGGTGCTGTGACCTTTGAACTCAAGGTGACCCCTGTCATCGGGGGTGCCGGGGGTGGTGGCTCTCTGTCGGATCGGAGAGGGGGGGTACTGTCCAGGGGAGCAGGGAGACTGAGCTCGGTTCCTGTTGGACCTCATTCTGGAAAAATAAACCCAAAGTCACCTGGTGTGCGTGCGCATATATACATGTGTGTGTGTGCATGTGTGTGTGCATATATACATGTGTGTGTGTGTGTGTGCATGCATGTATGGGGTGTGTGTGTGTGCATGCATGTATATCTGTGTGTGTGTGCATGCGTGTGTGTGCGCATATATACATGTGTGTGTGTGTGCGCATATATACATGTGTGTGTGTGCATGTGTGTGTGCATATATACATGTGTGTGTGTGTGTGTGTGTGTGCATGCATGTATATATATGTGTGTGTGTGTGTGTGTGTGCATGCATGTATATATATGTGTGTGTGTGTGTGTGTGTGTGTGCGTGCATGCATGAATATATATGTGTGTGTGTGTGTGTGTGTGAGTGTGTGTGTGTGTGTGTGTGTGCATGAATATGTGTGTGTGTGTGTGTGTGTGTGTGTGCATGCATGTATATATGTGTGTGTGTGTGTGCATGCATGTATATATGTGTGTGTGTGTGTGTGTGCATGCATGAATATATATGTGTGTGTGTGTGTGTGTGTGCATGCATGAATATATATATGTGTGTGTGTGCATGCATGAATATATATGTGTGTGTGTGTGTGTGTGTGCATGCATGAATATATATATGTGTGTGTGTGTGTGTGTGTGTGTGTGCATGCATGTATATATGTGTGTGTGTGTGTGTGTGTGTGTGTGTGTGTGTGTGTGTGCATGCATGTATATATGTGTGTGTGTGTGTGTATGTATATATGTGTGTGTGTGTGTGTGTGTGTGTGTGCATGCATGAATTTGTGTGTGTGTGTGTGTGTGTGTGGGCATGCATGTATGTGTGTGTGTGTGCATGCATGAATATATATGTGTGTGTGTGTGTGTGTTTGTGAGCATACCTTTTGGGCGTGGCGTGACCTTTACTGTTGCATTTGAAGGAGGCGCTCCGCACAGGTGTGTTAGGTACCTCCCCCTGTGTCACATGACATTTAAATGAGAAACATCTCACCTCAAACTGGGCCAGGAGCTTCGGGTCAGAAACAGAATAAAGACGAGTCTGCGTGCATCAGCAGAGCTCACCGTGGGTGTTTTAGCTCTGGACGTCTCCTCAGGAAATCCAGCCACGCTTCTGCGGTTGGAGGAACTCCTGAACAACCTGTTGTTGTTGGGGGAAGCTGTTTGATGGGACACACATGACACTGATGGGTCACAGACAAAAATAATTAAATTAAATAACAAAAAAATGCAAAAAATAGTTATTTTCAAAACATTTAAACTATGTTATCAATAAATGTGAAAATAAGGATTCTGGTGGTAAAACATCCAAATGGAGGACCCGTTACTGCTAGCATGAATTAGCACGTAGCGTAGGTGTGTTCTGGAACTGGAAAAACCACTAAGACACGATGCATTCACAGATCCAAAATTAAACACGATTTCTGAACGATGAGATTGAACCCAAATAGGGTTTTGTTGTTACCTGTACAGGTGAATATTAGTCCCATGAGTGGCTGACCCGTACTACCACTTTAGTTTTATGATCCGTTTTTAACCTTATTTTGGTTTTGCTAAAATAAAACTAAATAAAAACAAACGAGTCCTTCTGTTAAATCACTCATGACTTCACACGTTTACATTCTCTGGTGCTCATTCGTTAATCAGGCAGCTGTGTTGTTTCTTCAGTAGATTCATGCAGTCACATTGCTTTTATGCCAGTTTGGTATCCAGTAAATAATACTGCGTTATAATGCTGTTGCCGTTTCACACGATCACAGCTAGAAAAATGAACGTGAACATTATTTGAGCAAAAAGCTGCAAATAAAAGCAGATCTAAGATTTTCTATTTAAAACCGAACTACTACTTTAGTTCTGTTTTAAACTCTTTATTAATGAAAACATCAGAGATAACCAAGCCCCCACAATGCGGCTCTAAAATTGGTCCCAACCCGGAAGTACCAAAAATTGCAGTTCCACCCTCATCCACTAGGGGCTGGTGTCAGAAGCGAGCAAATCCTCATTGACTCCCATGTTAAAAATACCAATTTCACAGCAGAAATAAACATGTTTACAGCCTGGTACCAGAACATGTTTTAGGTTTAAATGATCTAGTTTACACTCATGACAACTCTGAGGGGGGTGAATGTTTTCTCACTCTTCTGTTTAAGTGTATTAAAAGCCTAAAATTCTGTATAATTAATGAGCATCAGACCCACGTGACCACAGAGCTAGCTCCGGGGAAAGGCCTCAGTAGAGCCTCGGTCTGGCCTGGAAACTGTTCCGGGATTTTGAATCTCTGTGTTTGTGTATTCTTGTTTGGATATTTTTGTGCAATTGTTGGACAAAATGACTTGCTGTGGCATTAATTGCACTAATAGAGCGTCCAAGGAGTCTCCACTTCATTTTTGTCGGTAAGTAAAATTATATTTATGTATTTTAGGTCACTGCCGAGCTGAGCTTAGATTTTAACATGTACTGTTTAACCATGACATTTAAATGTAATAGGGTAAACCCAGTGCATTTAACATAATGCTGCACTTTAGAAAATGGGTTGAAATATAACATGTTGGTGGAGCTGGGTTCCCACTATCGGTATGGTCCCCCCCCCCCCCAGCGGCGCTTGTCTGCTGCGCGGGCTGACGGCTTTCAGCAGCTTTCGGGAGACCTCTGTGTTCCACCCGGTTTTACCCAGCGGTCAGCCCGGCGTATCTCTGACTCAGAAGCTCTGGTGTTGTGCACAGTTAACTCCGGTTGTAGCTAGGTTGCTACCTCCATTAGCTTAGCTCCCACCTCCGCGTTAGCTTTGGGTTAGCTTCAGGTTAGCTTGTAGCTAGTTCGACCGGGTGTCGTCAGTTGATCCCAGCCTTAAAGCCCCACCCCCAGCTCCACCTCTCTTCCCTTTTATGGAATTGTCTGGGCTTGACGGAACCTGTGACACGGTCAAAATGGCGGTGGTGGCCACCTCCCATTTAGCCTCAAAAACTTGTTATTGGAGTCTCTGGGAACCCATTGTCCAGTATATATATATATCAATGGAGAAAACCTAAAACCGTTTAAAGGGATTTAAGCTCCCACGAGGACCAGACTTTTTAATTATTATTTTTCTTTGAAGCTTCGTTGTTTAAGGAGAACTTTCTTCATTTAAGATCTTAAACATAAAAAACTGAAATCTGACACTTTTATTTCTCAATAACTTTCTGAATTCTGAATCCAGTCAGAGGATTTCAGGTCAGGATGTAAATGAGCAGATTAGGACCTAATATTTAGATAAACACGTCCGGCTGAGACACGATCCGCCTGGTCTGGAGCGCCTCACCTCTGTCTGCAGAGCTGAGAGC